GTTTTTAGTACACAAAAACAGGAGCTATTCAAATTCATGGATTGGTAAAGGTAGAAGTTCAGGATATTCACATACTATTCCTACCATTTCTTCCAAGGGGATGTTTGTAAAGAGCGATGAGACGTCAAATGAAACCATAAATTACCAGAAACATTTATGTTGTCAAGCTTTTGTACAAATTCAAAACTGTCTTTTAGACTGTAGGGTGCTAGTTTCTTTCGGATTGGTTCTAAGCACCTTGTCAGCCAGCGGGCGAGTTTATAGAGGGGTGAATTAATCATGGATAATATTGATCTTATCGGGATGTCGGTTTTATGTGTTTTGGGTAGGCCGTATAAGAATGGTAATTGTGATTCTTTTGGTTTGAGTTCATTGTATGTATGATTATCTATTAGCATTTTTTTCAGGAGTCCGCTCAATTTTTTTAAAAGACGCTTCTCAGTCATCTTTGTTAAGTCTTTCTGGGTATTATCGATGATAATTCTAGTGAAATAATTTAAAATAGACATCACTTTGCTAATGTATTCACCTCTGTTAATAATGACCATACCGGAACCCTTATCTGGACGAAGTAGCAATATTGTTTCATCTTTCACAAGTTTTTTTAATGGTAGCTAGTAATCTTTAGTTAACACCGATTGTGAGATTGATGTCGTCATGTACTTGTTAGTAATATCAACTAATTTAGCTTTCAACCAACTATGTTTTTCATCGTTCATGGGTTTAAGGTTTGACAATTTTTGCTATAAATACTAGAATTGAGTTTCGATGTCTATTCTGCTACATTTTTTCGGAATATGAAACTTAAATCCAAGGAAGAGTGCCTCAGTTTCAATTCAAGTTAGGTTTTTACTAGTGAAATTCTGTATGTACTGTTCTAGATCAGTAGGAAAGGCGTTCATGCATATATATATACATTTATGTCAATTGTTCCATATTATTTCTTATCTCAATGTAAAATTCCAATACATATGTGAAACCACGAAATACAATGAATTCATATTATTCTGTATCAACGTTTGTTCTGGCTTTATTTATTAACTGTTTATCTGTATTAGAAATTAGTCATTAATGACTCTTAGCAGTGCAACAATATGGAAGACCGGGAGAGTCTTCCACATGTAACTAAATAAATGCTTGTTCTAGCTGTCAGAAGGGGCATCGGCCTCGTGACTTCCGAAGGAACTCGGTTTTCAACATGTGGTGTCATAACTCTTCTAAATGAAGAGTTTAAAATAATAAAAATAAAATAATTTTTTCTGGTTAGCGTCTTTTTAGCGAGTTAATTTTCTATGTGATGGGGTCGCTAACACCATGCCCAACCCTCCTCCTTTATACGGGCTTGTGACCGGCAGTAGCCCCCAGAAGGACTCCAGGTGGAGTTCATTAAAGACTCTAAATAGTATGAAATAAGAAATCCCATTGAAGTTTGTTGAATAGATATAAACATTTTACTATTTAAAATATTGATTCATGGTGATACATCGTTTGAATAGTTTTATCGGTCAATTTGTTATTTTTTCACTTCGAACCAATCAATACTAAATTATCCAAATAGTTTCTCACGGGAATTTTAAGTCGATTAATAATTTATCTAAAGATTTGTAATTAGTATTTATGGGCTAATATTTCCACATTGTTTTGATATTCTGATAACACAGTGTGATCTAAATTTTTAATAGGCTTTAAGCAATCATATTTATTTCTCATTTACACAGAGGTATATCGCTTTATTATAAATTAACTTCATAGTTATATAATATACCCTTGTGGGCCAGGGTAGTTTTACATCGGTTTTCAGGAGAACCAGACACCATCCAGACTTTCAGGTGACAACCAAAACAGTACAGCTCAATTCCGTTTATTAAGAGAGCCAGTATATAAAACAAAATTATATGAAGTCGGGTTCGAATCCGATATCTTCTGATTGAAAGCCAACTACAGTCATATTGTTATATAGATAATTTGCATATTTTTTGTATCATCTAAATATATGAATAATTTATTGTTATCTTAAGTGGTTGTCCGATTATGGTACCGATATACACGCTTCCGATATGTGTGTTTAACTAGCTATTTAAGTAAACTTTCAAAGAACAAATCGCAAACTTTATTAGAAAATTCGAAATAAAATATCTGAACAGATTTATCCATAAACATAGATATATGTTTCTCGGATAACTGAGCCTGATTTCAACCGATAACAAGCACCCATCAATGTCTTTAACCAATCAATTGACTTTGAACTGGTATATTTGCTTCTTAAAATTGGGTCCTCTCACATGATTTAAAATAGGGTCACGTTGATTATTCAAGTAAGAATATGAAGAAGATAATGTACATTTAATTCTGCTAACAAATCACATAATCAACGAATATTTCTACCGTAGCCAGTAAAGATAATCAAGATAAATCTCAGCTTAATCGATAAGTATTGATATGAGCCATCTAGACTGAAATATTAGATATCTTCTTATCTGGTATATTTGGAAATATTGTTTGTCCACAACTAAATAAGAGATCAGTCACATTTTAAATTTAGCACTCACCAATATCGACTCGATCTGTCCTTGGTTGATACCCGTTTAGACTTGATCAGCAATCTAAGGATATTGTAGCATGTCTTCATATCTATTACTTACTTACGCCTGTTAGCAATCTTGTAGGAGCACAGGCCGCTCACCAACATTCACCATCTAACTCTGTCCTGGACAATCCTTTCCAGTTGTTATTCATCCTTTTAAAGTCTACTTCTGATCCAGTGAGCGAGAACATAAGTTGGGACAACCGAATGTAATTGATGAGAAAATTACAGAATGTATTGGTAAAATCTGAGAACTATACAGGGAATACTTAATTAGCAAAACGTTAATCACCTGTCTCAAACTTGAATACTCCTCTTGCAAATATCAATCAATCGTCTCATTCTTCACTGTTCTTTCATTTCCACAATGATCATTCATTGTTCTCGTGCTCTTTTCTTTGATCTTCTTAACCTTCTCCTTCCAGACATTTCACTTTTGATTGATGTTACATACTACTTATATCTATCAACATCAGTAGAACACACCACACACAATTACTGTTTTTATTTTTCAAATTGATGACTATACATTTTCGCTTTTTCTTCGTAAGTTCGTTACCAGTTTCTTTTCACTTGACACTAATATACATTCTAAAGAAAAAATTTTCATAGACAAGTTACTTTTGACAGTTATTAGATGGAATCGATTTGACAATGAATTTTATTGGTTAATATTTTACCTTTGAAAGTTCTACAAGTAAAGAGTAAATAAGTGATTAGTTCTTTTGTCAAATGTATTTTGATTATACTATTTTACAAACTTGCTTTTATTAACACTTAACAATAAGCAAATCATACACATATATACACAATATTATTCTTGAAAGTATTGTAATTAAATAATGTAAAAATATTTCATTCTTTCTTATACAAATTAACATCTTTAAATAGTACATACAAATTATTCTGATTTTTAAGTCCCATGCCAAATAAAACATGAGTATAGATAGATAAACAGGTCAAGTATATAAGAGAATGAAACTCGGTTCTTTACATACACACATACTCTCTCTCTCTCTGTGATTATTCGATTTATATTAATAGATATATCTTACGATCCGAAATCAGATGCCATGTTCATCAGGCCACAGAGCCCACCAAATGGCCTGGTACGGCCGAGCGTGAGGAGAGTGTAATCTCCCTCTCGAAATGCTCTTACATGGCCACGTGCATACAACCACTCCCAGGGAAGTCTTACTAACTGCCTTTTCATGATACGGATGTTTACGAAATTGAGAGGTCAAAAAATCGAATGTTTAGCCCCTTAACCCAGATAGAGAAGTTGTAAAATCCTGATTCCAAACCAATGGTGCGCATGAGATCCAGGTTCCTAAGGAATCAAATGGTGTATGAACCAATTGTTGGTCACCGGCTACCATGGGACTGCATCTCCTTAGGTTGTTCCACTGCTTTGTGGATTAGACCTTTAAGTCAAACGCTCCAGGTGTGGCCACCTAAGAAAACCACCTACTTCAGTTTGAGCACCTGAGCAGTATTCTAGATCTTACATAAATCAAATGATTTATGTAGCGTATATCTACTTCGCACCTCCTTACACCAATGTTTATGTGTTTAAATAAATAAATAATAGATATATCAATGAAGAAATGCATTACTACAGTGAATAATCAGTTCAATATTTGTTTATTTTAAAGTTCTTTATCTATTTTATTGTTTCAAAAAAAACTTCACCTCTATAAAACTTTTCTACTATATAAAAAACAACAACATATTGTTGCTCAGTTATTCAAGAGTTCTCATTTCTAATTGCGTGTATTTTAAAATGTGAATGAATGAATGAATGAATAAATGAATATGTAAGTATGACAGATTTCAATGAATAAAGAAGAAAAAAGTATTTTATTTAAATAATGTTATTTATCAAAGAGCGCCATTTTCAAAAGAAAGAAAATACAAACAAACAAAAAAACAGAATTTAAAACTAATCACATTGAAGTATAGAATAAAAATGGAAATATCTCTACGAAATCACTTCGATTCGGATAATTTTCTTCTGTCATATATCCATGTCTACACTTATCCCCAGACATACACAAACACGACTGATATATGTATATCCTTTTGTTCACCAGTTTTCTTGCATAATAGCCATAAAAATTAAATTAAATCTATTGCATATATATATGTAAATATGTTAGCTGGATAAATGAAAAGAGAGTGGATTAATATACACAGTAAATAAGTAAGAGAGAAATGAATAAATGTGAATGTATGCATGAATTTATATACGTATGTGACAATCAGGCATAATGAAATATTAGCAAATAAAGTTAACTAGTTATATTGTTTTTAATTGTAACAGTTAGATTATCTTTAGTTTCAAGAGAAAATAACTCATCATCGTCCTCATATAAATTAGTAAACTTCAATCAATTTATCAGTTCTTTCTTGTAATCTATGATGATGATGATGATGATGATGATGATGATGATGATGATGATGATGATGATGATGATGATGATGATGATGATGATGATGATGATGATGATGATGATGATGATGATGATGATGATGATGATGATGATGATGATGATGATGATGATGATGATGATGATGATGATGATGATGATGATGATGATGATGATGATGATGATGATGATGATGATGATGATGATGATGATGATGATGATGATGATGATGATGATGATGATGATGATGATGATGATGATGATGATGATGATGATGATGATGATGATGATGATGATGATGATGATGATGATGATGATGATGATGATGATGATGATGATGATGATGATGATGATGATGATGATGATGATGATGATGATGATGATGATGATGATGATGATGATGATGATGATGATGATGATGATGATGATGATGATGATGATGATGATGATGATGATGATGATGATGATGATGATGATGATGATGATGATGATGATGATGATGATGATGATGATGATGATGATGATGATGATGATGATGATGATGATGATGATGATGATGATGATGATGATGATGATGATGATGATGATGATGATGATGATGATGATGATGATGATGATGATGATGATGATGATGATGATGATGATGATGATGATGATGATGATGATGATGATGATGATGATGATGATGATGATGATGATGATGATGATGATGATGATGATGATGATGATGATGATGATGATGATGATGATGATGATGATGATGATGATGATGATGATGATGATGATGATGATGATGATGATGATGATGATGATGATGATGATGATGATGATGAGTGTGCAACATCGAGAATGAAATAACAAAACAAATCACCTTATTAAAGCAGATGCGTACTGTACTAGGCAAACAAATCACTTTGGATTATATGATTTACATTGAAAAATTGATTAGATGAAGTTTATGTGGTGTTTCGTATAAGTTAAAGCTCCGTGCTAGTTTTCACTTGTCAGATAGGCGCATCTAAAATCATTATGCTTTCTATATTACCCAATGTTATAGTCCTGGAAAATACCATCAAGCTTTCCTCAGACATTTACTATCTTCCTACAGCACAGTAGTTTACATTAATTAGTCATTAAGTAGTAGTCGATGTAATGTCTATCTAATAGTTAGATTTTTTAAATTCTGCTAATCATAAGGTTATATACTCGCTAGTCTATGCAACACACTAACATGAAGTCCTAGTGAACGAAGAAATAACCGGAAGCACTATTTATAACAAATTTGGTGAACATGAGGAAAGTTTCAGACAACCTCAACCTATTTTTACTTACGCCTGTTAACCCCAATCGAGCATAGACCACCGATCAGCATTCTCCAACCCACTCTGTCCTCTACCTTCCTTTTCAGTTATGTCTAATTGTTGTTCATTTTTCTCATGTCTGTCTCCATTTCTCGACGTAGTGTGTCCTTTGGTCTTCCTCTTCTCCTTTAGTCTTGAGGATTCCATGTGAGGACTTGCCTTGTGACGCAGTTGGGTGCTTTCCTCAATGTGTGTCCTATCCACTTCAAGCGCTTCTTCCTGATTTCTTCATCCGTTGGGTTCTGGTTTGTCCACTCCCATAATAGGTTACTGTTGATTGTCTCTCGCTGACAACAGTTAATCAATACTTGTATCTTCTGGATGATGGCTTTTGTAGTTCTTCAGGTTTCCGTCCCATACAGTAGAACTGTCTTGACATTTGTATTGAAAGTTCTGAATTTGGTGTTGGTTGATAGTTGTTTTGAGTTCCAGATGTTCTTCCGTTCTGAATATACTGATCTTGCTTTGCTCAAACGTTTTTTGGTAAAGTTTAATTATAATGCCGAATGAATAAAAATCGACAGAAGGACTTCAAGGACACGGAGAAAATGTCGATTTAAGATTATGGTATTCGCCAAGATGATTATCAATTTCAGTAATAATTTTATTGTAAAACTTCAGATTTCTAATTATTTCACTCATCTACGATTGTGTTCATGAAGTGGTGGTCAGATAGTTCAGAGTAAGAGATGAAGTAACATTTAATTTTAATATAATTAAACAAAATAATGAAAAGAGATTAGGTATTTGTCTCTATTAAAGTTGAATCTCAAAGAAATAGTACTTAGTACTACAAACCAAAATATTCACTGTAACTTTTATGGGAATTGTATAAGAATAATCTGTACAGATTTTACTTTTCGAAGTCTTATATCAGTTATACTACGTAATATAAATTGTTCTCACTACGATAGTAAACACCGAAAATGTGTAAGGCATTTACAGTCACTTAAGGAAACTACTTACGATCATATTATGACTCTTAAGTGAAGATGGTCTGGAGTTGTACAGATGAATTTCGTTATCTAATTTTAAAAGATCAATAAGTAATCTGGAATAATAATATTAGCACTTCAATTCATGAATCAGACTAAGACCACCGTTGAAAACCTGGAAGCACTAGACAGCTGTTTCGTTCTAGTATGGGACTTCTCAGATATGTGCATCCACGATCCCACACAGGGGACTCGAACCCAGGACCTTCGGTCTCGCGCATGAACGTTTATCCTCTAGACCACTGAGCCAACATCCAGCGGTTTCAATGTCTAACTTCAATCAATCCATGATCTTGCTTAACACTTTATCCATTGTCTGAGGTGGATGACTGTCCCACACTCAACACGGGTTGCATTCCAGTAATCACGGCTTCTCATTAGAACTCCCGGAATTCCATCTTGAAGCTACTCGTTAGTGAATACACGGTGATTATTATCAGAATGGGGATTTGTGAAGATTGTAGTAATTTTATTGGTTGAATTCATAAGTCTATCTAAGTTAAACAACCATTACTACAATCTCTAAAATGTCCCACTCTGACAACAATATTATTTTGTAATTTACTATATTTCGTGGCGTTAATTACTCATTTTTATCTTCTGTTTTATGATTGGCTAGACTGGGTCAACTTTACTTATGCTTATTTTACAAATTAGTCAAGTTAAAGGCTGTGATTAAACTTCGGCATATATTTCGACCACCAAATAGATAATTTTATCGAAAACAATCTTATTAATTGCTGGAAACTTTGGAAATTAATGAAAACAGCTACTAAAGCAAAGCTTAAAGCAACCACAAAGAATTTCCAGTTAACCCTTAGGCAATCAGGAATAAGATTATATAATTAGATAGTCTTTAAAAAAGAAAACAATAAAAGAAATGAGAAACAGTATCGTATAAACTCGTCCTAATGAATACAAATTGTCCGTCCTTTCGAACTTTGATAAAGACAAATAGATTTGTAAACGTTTTTGAATTGTTTTTAGTTAGGGTTAGGAATTCAGGGTAAGAGTTAGGGTACTAACCACACCTTGGCATTAGCTGTAATGTAAAATTACTCTGTAGCCATATGAATAAATGAATTTAACACAAAATATAAGGGAAACTACATGATCAGTTCATCCGTAAAACAGTACCATTAAGTCGACGTTGGTTTGAAGATTAAAGGTTTAGGGTTAGGATTTACGGACAGTGTCAGCTTGCCTGTTATATTCAATCTACAGAGAGAAAATTGAGGATTTAATACATTTGATACCATTGATTAGGATAGGATTTACATTACAGAAATCATCAAACTGCATCACGAGGCAAGCCCTTACTTGGAATCCTTAAGGGAAACGGAAAAGAGGAAGATCAAAGATCACATTAGGTCAAGAAATAGAAGCAGACATGAAAAGGATGAATATCAACTGGAAAGCGCTGGCAAGGATTTCTCAGGACAGAGTTGGATGGAGAATGCTGGTGGGTGGCCTATGCTCCTCCACGAAGAGTAACAGTTGTAACTAAGTTTTTTGTCGTTGTGAGAACTGAATAGAATAGTTTCATTTCAAAGTACACAATCCTTAATCCACTTGAACTCTATACAATGAGTTCATGTTTACAACAAGACCTTTTTTGTTGTTCTTACCAAAAGATATCAGTTCTTCATAACCTCACTAATTCTTTTAAGTTCCTATTTCAATATTCAATTTCAAGTTGTTGTTTTTATTTTCTTCTCAAAATTAAAACAATCTGGAAAATTATATAAAGTGTAGATCATATTATTTTCAAATTTCATTGACTTATTTTCTGGAAAAAGAAAAAAATATTCATTTTGAAAAGGAACGAGTGAGAGGGAGGGAGGTAGGAAGCGAGGGAGGGAGGGAAAAAGGGGAAGAGAGAAAGTAATCACTCCAGGAAACTTTTGTTTTATAATTTTGTTGAAACAAAAAAATTTTGATTTATTTTTACTGTCCAAACGTGTTTTTTTTTATTGGATTTATCGATATATATAAATATATAAACAAGTAATTTATTAATATATATTTTATTCCCCCCCTCCCGATTACGAATAGTAATAATAATGTTAATAATACAAGTATGAACGAAGTCAAACTTTCGCCATTTCACCATTTTAGTTTATTACAAATATTCACTCACTCAGAAACTTCATAATACAATGTCTTTTACTAAAAGAGAGAAAAAAAAAGAAAAGAAAAGAAACTGACTACTTTTTTTAACGAACTGACTTGTCATTAAGTTGAATTCTTTTTTTAGAGAAAAAAAACGGTGAAAGTAAATTCAATGACATGGTGCAAAGTGTGTATTTAAATTTGTGCTCGTGTATGTATATGTATGCACATGTATGTATGTGAATGTATGTTTGTAAGTAGGTAAGGTAACCAGTCAATGAACAAATATTTCGTTTTTGATTGAGATCATGAACCGATTGATGTTAGACCATCACAATTGAAGACCTGGATGCACTGGACGGTCATTTCGTCGTATTGCTGCACTCCTCAGCAATGCGCATCCACGATCCCACTCGTGGGATACGAACCCAGGGCCTTCGGTCTCGCGCGCGAACGCTTAACCAACTGGACCACTGAGCCGGCATCCAATGGTGATAGTTTCTAACATCAACCAATCCACGAAATTGCGCGACCAACTTCCGTCGTACTGAGGTAGATACCTGTCTCTACCCGACAAGGATTAGCTCCACTTGTCACGACTTCTCACTAGAACTCCGAGAATTCCCTCACGAAGCTAGTCACTAGGACGAAACGGCCGTCCAGTGCTTCCAGGTTTTCAATTTTGATGGTCTAACATCAATCGGTTTATGATCTCAATCAAAAACTAAATAATCTCCACAACCCCTATACTAGTAACAAATATTTCTTTGACTGTAAACATAATGTAAAGTGTATCGAAATTGAGAGATTGAATGAAATACATACAAATCTATGATATATGAAAAATAATCTGGGGGAGAAAAACTTTCTATGTATATTTGGATATAATTTCCCAAAAATCTGTCATCAACTTGCACAAAACATTCTATAAGTTATAATATTTTCTTCACATTTGAAGTCTTTTGTTATTATTTTATTATTATTGTTGTTGTTTTGGTTCAAAAGGTGTGTACTTTTATATATATACACATACAAACACTTGCATGTGTGTGTGTTTGTTGCTCAACAAGTATACGTTTATAGGTGTAACAAAATAATTCTATTTTCCTAAAAAACGGTCTTTATCCACGCTTTCCTTCTAGATCACATTTTTTCAATTTAATTAAGAATTTAGTTTTGCCAGGGGGATAAAAAAGGACTAAAGAAGGAGGTGTGTGTGTGGCAAGGACGAAATAATTAATCTACCATATAAATTTATACAACTGTCAGGTTTAAATCATTTTTATTGACTTCAATGTTCAAATGATATATGGTAATATTTATTCATATACAAACATAAACCGGCTTCTGGTGGATAACCTAAGGAATGAATTAATAACTACAATTATATATATATATATATATATATATATATATATATATATATATATATATATATATATATATATATATATATATATATATATATATGAAATTAATGAAATTTTCAGCCTTTTTATGAAAAACAATCGAGTGAATAATACAAATGTAATAAATTTTTCTTTTTATTCGATAACAATTTTAAAGAGAAAACATCCACAATATTCACTCAATTGTAAACAAACA